AAGAAGTGGAGAAGTTTTTCTATGGTTTGAATGTTGCCACAATCAACTTGGCTTGACCCCTGCCTTTCATGTCTCCTCCAGGCAGAGCATGTATAGCTGGATTCAGGAGGCTGTTAATGTTTCTTTGAATAATATTGTTTGCCTTGAAGGAGACACCTCCTGCATTAACTTAGCCATTCCTGACAACTTTCCACCTAATTTCCAATATTTCTTTTCTGATGAAGTTTGTAGTGTAGGTAATGGGGGACGTATAGCCCAGAAGGAGTTTGTGTGTAATTTGAAGCTCATTCTGGACTCGTAGTTTCTGCTGAAACAGCAGGTAGAAGCTGTGGCAGGAGAATCTTTGATGGCTCCATCAGTTAATAGTGGAATTGTTTAATTATTTCTAACAGAAGACATCTTTGCCACTCCAGGGTGAGACCAGCTACTATTGACATGATTGCTAATCATAGTTAGAAGAAACTTCTTAAAATACTTGCTTGAAAACAAAGGAAAGGAAGTTAAAAGACTGACATTTCTCCTGAATAGCTGGAGGTTATTTAAAACCACCATGAAAGAGGCTTAGATAAAATTACATCAGATATTAGATCAGATAATGTTGCTAACAAGCCCAAGAAAAGCCAAAGCTCTTAATGAACAGAATAAAGGGAAAAAAGGAATCCTACCTTAAAATTCATAATCTCCTGTTAAGAATAAATTAGAACAGAAATATAAATTTATGGTTAATAACTCTTATAGATAAGATAAGATAAGATAACTCTTATAGTTAATCACCTGGTGGATAGAATAATTGCAATTTGCAAATGGAATATCTCTTCTGCCAGCCTACATGGAGCCGAACTCCATCACTTTAGCAAAAAGGAAAAACACTCTGAAATCCAAGACTGTAAATGTCAAACCTGGAAGGATTATACTGATTTGTCACTACCTATTGTGACAGACAGTGCCCTTCAAATCCCTTTGCCAACTTTGCACAAGTCTTTACTCCACAGTTATTGGGGCTTACGATTTTCTTTCCAGTAGTCAGATGAAACCTAAATATTTATACGATAATTGAGAGCCTTAAATATTTGTATTTTAAAAGGTCCTGCAACATACAGTGTCTCTTGGAAGCAAGAGGGGCCCTAAACTCATAGTTCTGATCCAAACCTTGTTCCAAGGAAACAAACACAAAACAGAGGTAACAGCAAAACCTTTTCATGATTCTTTATGAATTCTGTTCCTTCACGGCTAAAAGGCTGTTTCAAATTAATTATCTCTGATAAGAACAAGCTTGCCAAGGTTGTGCAAGGCTTCTAAGAATACTAGATAGTCACTAAGAAATATTTCAAACACAAAGAGTCTCCAAACACCAACCAAGATACTCCGAACGTCCACAAGGCTTGAGTGCAACAACTTCTTTGCTTCCTGCAAAGAACTCCGGTTTCTCAGATGACTTTTATCTCTTAAGGAAGAGGCCATTACCTTGCAGCCTTACTCCCGAGTCGCCCGTGCTGCTGCAGCTGCTCTTTCCTTTGAGCAGCCCTGCACGCACGCATCCTGGACACAGGCTCCTCAGGGACTTCTTCATCACTGCTGCCAGCCACCACAATTTCCGAAGGCAGCATTCTACTCCCTGATGGACCTGGCTCCATCCCTGCATCACACACATGCCCCTCATCTGAGACCTCGCTCTCTGAGGCCTCAGCCATCTGCACCTGCTGCCGTGAACCACAATAACTCTATTCTCAACAATTCCCAGAAGCAGAGAAATAGAGAGACGGAGAGACGGAGATGAGAGAGACAGAGAGAGGGGTTGGGGGGAGGGAGGGAGAGAGAAAGATGAGAGAGGGTGGGGGAGAGAGAAGGGAATTTCATGCATATGTGTAAGTTGATCTGATTAAATACAGCATATAATATAAACGAAGCACTCCCTTGCTCTCATTGTCAACACCTCATCAAAGATTACTAAGACCAAATGGCTGAACAGATGGAGAGGCCTATAAAGGAGAATATTTGTAGCTCAGAGCTGAAATGAGGGGTCCTTGGTTATTTTTTTTTTGCACATATTTAATTATCCAAACTAAGTAACAACACCAGGACTGTGCAATGCAGCTCTGACAATGTTATCTAGTTCAGATAATGAACATCTGCAAGACAGCAAGACAGCTCAGAGACCCCTCAAATGGAGAAGCTTCAAGAAGCACACAAAGCCTTCATCCTCAACTTTGCAGTGGCAGTAAGAACTGGCCAGGCTGAATGTCTCTTGTGTACGTACAGAAATGTATTGTCACCCAATTCCTCAGCTTAGCAGCAGCTGCTGTAGTGAGCCAGACAGCTTGGAAGGCTGCATTTTCTGTCTTGGCTCCTGAGTCACCAGATGGGTATGAAAAAAAGCCACTCCTCCTCCTCCTGGCGCCACCCACTCCCAGGCACTAAGCAACAAGAAAACACACAAGGGATTTGTTCAAGGCTGCAGAAGAAATTTCAGGTAGGCTCTGTACACTCTTTTTGTTGAGCTTCTCTCCCTCCTTCCCAGCAGAACACACCCTTCCATCTCACCTCCTCCATGCTAATTGCCTCCTTCATAAACTACTGTATGAAGCCCTCTGGATTTTCACTCCTATCTTCTTCCATCTTTAGAAACCCTTTAGTTCTGCCTGGCCCAGCTTTTCCGCTGCTGACTGAATCCCACAGAAATTAGAAAAATGTTTCTGCGTGAACTTGAGCCTTAGGCTGATCTGGCCTCACGAGGTGGTTGGAGCAATTGCCCTTGTTGTTCCCTTCTCTTAACGTGACCTCGGTCAAGATTATTCTCTCTGCTTTCTCTTTTAGGAAGTCCCCCACTCAAAGAATGAAATATTTTGGGAAATATTAAAAAGGAAGAAATAAAATATTTTCTCTAAAGGAGAAATAAAAGAAATATTTAGGGAGGCAGAAACCAGCCCCAGTTTCCCTGCCCCCAAGCAGAAACTGAGGAGGCCAACTTTTAGAAATGCAGATTTCGTAATCCATTCAGACAGACTGAACAACAGACAACAGATAATCAGAGTTGGAAGGGACCTTGTAGGTCATCTAGTCCAACCCCTGCCCAAGCGGGAGACCCTACACCATTTCTGACAAATGGCAGTCCAAACTCTTCTTGAAAGTCTCAAGTGATGACGTTCCCACAACTTCCAAAGACAAGCTGTTCCATTGGTTGATTGTTCTCACTGTCAGAAAGTTTCTCCTTATTTCCAGGTTAAATCTCTCCTTGTTCAGTTTCCATCCATTATTCCTTGTCTGGCCTTTAGGTGCTTTAGAAAATAGCTTGACCCCTTCCTCTCTGTGGCAGCCCCTCAAATATTGAAAGACTTCTATCATGTCTCCCTTGGTCCTTCTCTTTACTAGACTAGCCATGCCCAGTTCCTGCAACTGTTCTTCATATGTTTTAGCCTCCAATCCCCTAATCATCCTGGTTGCTCTTCTCTGTACTTTTTCTAGAGTCTCAACATCTTTTTTATAATGTGGTGATCAAAACTGGATGCAGTACTCTAGGTGTGGCCTTACTAAGGCTTTATAGAGTGGTATTAGTACCTCCCTTGTTCTCTCTGTTAATGCAACTTAGGATTGCATTAGCTTTTTTGGCTGCTGCTGCACACTGCTGGCTCATATTTAGCGGTTTTCCACTAAGATTCCAAGATCCCTCTCACAGTTACTGATATTGAGCCTGGTTTCACCCAGTCTATATGTGTACTTTTGGCTTTTCTTGCCTAAGTGTAGGACTTTACTTTTCTCTACATTGAATTTCATTTTGTTAGATATGGCCCAATGTTCTAGTCTGTCAAGATCCCTCTGGATTTTGAGCCTATCTTCTTGGGTGTTAGCTATTCCTGCCAGCTTAGTATCATCTGCAAATTTGGTAAGTTCCCCTTCTATTCCCTCATCTAAATCGTTAATGAAGATATTGAAGAGTACTGGGCCTAAGACGGAACCTTGTGGCACCCCACTGCTTACTTCCCTCCATGTAGACTTAGACCCATTAGGGACTACTCGTTGAGTATGGTTTGTCAGCCAGTTGTGAGTCCATCTAGTGGTGGTGCTATCTATTCCACTTTTTTCCTGCTTACTAAGAAGTAGGTTGTGGTCTACTTTATCGAATACCTTGCTGAAATCTAAATGTATTATATCCACAGTATTTTGTTGGTCTACTAACTTAGTCAATGTGTTGAAGAATGAAACAAGATTGGTTTGGCATGATCTGTTTTTAACAAACCCGTGCTGACTGCTAGCTATTACTTTACTTGTTTCTAGATGTTGGCAGATCTGTTTTTTTATTATCTTTTCCAGTATCTTCCCGGGTATTGATGTTGGGCTGATTGGTCTATAGTTTCCTGGGTCTGTTTTTTTTCCTTTTTTGAAGATGGGAACCACATCAGCTCTTTTCCAGTCCTCTGGTGGTTCCCGGTACTCAGGATTTTTGAAAGATATGGTGCAGTGGTTCTGAGATGACCTCTGCCAGCTCCTTTAAAACTCTGGGATGTAATCCATCAGGCCCCAGTGATTTGTTTTCATCAAGATCAGACAGGTGTTCTCTTATTATTATTTTTTGCTTATTTTAACTTTTATTTCTGGTCTGTCTTTTACAGTTATGTTTTTGGTGGGTTGAGCTTTAACAAACAAAAGGCTGGTAAAATTAGCTCAGACGAGCACCTAGGATTTACATTTCCCCTTTTGCCTATAGGGTCAGCCATGACCACATAGGAATCTGATAACAACCAATAGAATATTAAAGGACATGTTCTTGCACAGGAACAGGAAGCTCAAATACAAAGTCCAAAGAAGGTATAAAACACGCCCACTCTCAACTCCATTTTGTCAGCTGGCCCCAGAATCACATGTGGTTGGTGATTCTGTTTCACCTTTCTTTCCAATTGGCCTGCATGTTGTTTCCAGCATCTTTCTCCCAGCTTGGAACTGAACCAGATAGATGTTCCTTCCAACACTCTCTTGACCTTAACATGTCTATCTGCTTTCCAGTGATGGCTCCGAAGCCCCGAAAGAAAAAGAAAGCACAGCCGCCCAGTTCCAAGCTCACAGCTTCAAGGGCTAATCTCAAGGACACTGTGGAACCCATGCCAGACAATGACTTGCTGCTGCCAGTACAACAGGAATATGAGAGCATCTGCCGAAACCTGGAGGATTTGAGAGGGAGGAGGGCACAGCTGAGGGCACAATATGATTTCCTCCAGCAAGAGGCACAAGATCTCCAGAATGAGAGCCGGGAGTTTGCCAACTACCTAGCCAAACGAGCTCGAAGGCACCAGGGTCTTGCGGTTTCTCTAAATGAAGAGAACCAGGAGTTGCTGCACCAAATCCAGAAGCAGCACCAAGAAGTGATTACCCGTTCCCAGGAGCAAGAGGCAGCCCTGCAGAAAGAGCTGTTCCAGAAGGAAGCTGAGCTGGCCCGTCTCAGCTCTGAATTGGAGGGACTGCACGAGGTCCAAGCCCTGAAACAAGAGCAGACAACCCGCATTCGGGAGCTGCAGAAGGAGTTGGCGGCTGCACAGAAGCAGCATATGCAACACCTGGAGGCAGCCAAGATACGAGCCTTGAAAGAGAAGATGGCCCAGGAACAGATGGCAGGGCAGGAAGTGGAGGGCTTGGCTCAGCAGGTGCAACAGTTGGCCTTGCGGTGCCTGCAGGAGCACAGCCAGACAGTCTGCCAGCAGAATAAGGAGCTGAAGAAGGAGCTGCACCAGCTGGTGCAGCGAGTGCAGAAGCTGCAGGAGCACAAGCACCGATTGCAGAAGCAAATGGAGCAGCTGTGGCAGGAACAGGGCTGTTTGCAGGACATGGCCCATCTGCGTGGACGGTTGAGCGGTAAGGGTTCTGGCCTTGTGCTAGAGGAGGAGTGACATGGCCATGGCCAGGGAAGCTGCATTCAGCCAAGACAGTCAACTAGGACACTTGAACACTTAACAGAGGGACTGGCGCAGCATTGATTAGTTGGTGTGGTTTGGATTATTTTGGGAAGGAAGAATTAAACCCCTGCAGTAATCCAATTAGAAAGTGACTAAAACGTGAACTATTGAAAAAAACGGTATGTTTCATTTAGTTTACTTTATTGTCATTGCACCTGGTACAACGAAATGAAATACCATCGTCAGTGTACATTATGACTATGGAAATAAACACAAACACACATCTATCACATTCTACACATTGAATTGAAAATCCCTGATATTGCATTCATATTGCACTAGACCCGTGATGGCGAACCTATGGCACGTGTGTCACAAGTGCCACGCAGAGCCATTTGTGTTGGCATGCGAGCCACAGGCAAACTTACCTTACTGCTCATGCACACGCCTCACAGCTGATTTTTTGTTGTTGTTGGTGGTGGTGGTTTGAGGCCTTTTTCAACCTCCCAGAGGCTTGGAAAAAGCCTGTGCAAGGCTGTCCAAGGCTGTGCAAGACTGAATTATAGGCCCTGTAATACCACAAGTGATGAAAGCCCAGGTCAGGTCCTCTTTTATGGTATGACTCAATGGGCAAAGAACTTTGGTTGCAATATAATGCTTGATCAATAGGAAAAAATGTGGACAAATGAAGTTTATATTGAAAGAAAACTGTTTTAAAGTGATGTATCGTTGGTCCTTAATGGCCGAGTAAGGGTCAAATATGTGTATAAAGAAATTTCAAATGTATGTTGGAAATGTATTTGTAAAAATAGTACTTTCTATCATCTCTGGTGGATGGTGGATGGTGACAAAACAGAGGTATTGAGACCAGATCTTTATTTTAATTCAGAAAATTCTTGAAAAAAATATAAAACTGAAACCAGAAGTCTTTTGCTGGATAAAAAAAGTTTAAAAAATGGAACTTTGTTACTATATGTGTTGACAGCAGCAAGACTTTTATTTGCACGAAGATGGAAAGATATATCAATTCCCACAATGGAAGGACAAATGGTCAATAAGTGATGGAGTTGAGGAGATGGCAAAAATGACTGAATATAATAGAATAACAGGAGTTGGAAGGGACCTTAGAGCTCTATCCAACCCTCTGCTTAGGCAGGAAACCCTACAGCATTTCAGGCAAATGGATGTCTGATCTCTTTTAAAAACTTCCAGTGTTAGAGCATTCATTAACTTCTGGAGGCAAGTTGTTCCACTGATTAATTGATCTGTCAGGAAATGTCTCCTTAGTTCTAGGTTGCTTCTCTCCTTGATCAGTTTCCACTTGTCCTGCTTCTTGTCCTGCCCTCAAGATGCTTTGGAGAATAGCTTGACTCCCTCTTCTTTGGGGCAACTTCTGTGATATTGGAACACTGCTATCATGTCTCCCCTAGTCCTTCTTTCCGTTAAACTAAACATATCCAGTTCCACCAACTGTTCTTCATGTTTCAGCCTCCAGTCCCCTAATCATCTTTGTTGCTCTTCTCTGCACTCTTTCTAGAGTCTCAACATCTTTTTTACATCGTGGTGACCTAAACTGGATGCAACTAATTGACTGCTTTAATTAAAAAGAATTTATCTAGTTTTGTTTCCATTTGGAAATGACTTCAGAAAATAATGAAATTTTGATTTTAAGTTTTGACTTTGTTGTTATAGAAATGGCTTGAATTAATAGAAATGTAGAACAAAAAGTTGAGGTTATAACTTTTTAAATAATAAACACTGATAAACATTCAAAGAGATTGGAATGTGGATCACCACCCCCATTCATAACTGCTAAGGGAAACCAGCCCTCTCATTCCCTCACTTAGGATTCTTCAACCTGAAAATGACAAGACTACCAAGCATCCTCCAGGCATACAAGTAGGATGAGCATCTCCTACCAGGAGAGCGTTGAAAATATCCTCAAATTTATCCCTTCTATACAGTTGGAGGATCAGTTTTTCATCTCCCATATGTCAAATAGTATACATGCAAGTATCACAATTTCAGAAACCTGCCCTCCAAAATAGTATCTCAGCTGCTATTAAGTCAATAAAAGGCTAGAAAATGCAATGACACAGCATGCAGTGTATGGTATTAACCTTAGGCTTTCCAAATGTAACAAATTTGGCCAATTGATGAGAGTTTCCATTATACAAACTTTTAAAAATGGATTCATTTAGAAATCAAGTTAAGCATGTGTGAATATGTATGAGAGGGGATCAAATTCTTCTTTCCCATTATCATAGAAGTCATTTTTAAAATGGAATTCTTCTGAGTTTTGACACTGATAGGTGTAGACTGCATATACTAATAGATTTAATAGCTATTTATTTAGATCATTTAGCATTTAACTTGTTCATTTATTTTATGTTGTCCAATTATTTTCTTTTCCCAAGGCTAATAAAATGTTAATATGAACCAATTGGGCTTGACTGATTACTTTGCCCAAGATAATTTGTCCTACTGCATGACTATAGTTTCACATTGCCAGAGAAAAACTCTGTATACAAAGGAAAGACAGGTTAATATATAACCCATGGCAGCTGAAGGATAAAGCCAACATAGCAGTCCTGCTGGGGACGGTTTTAAAGGGGAAAGTAATGTCAGACCAACTGAGTGAGGTTAATGCTTTCATGACATTTTAACAGTCCCAAAGGATCTTCCCAATGCCTACATGTTTTGCAACTCCTTACCTTGAGGCTCAATCCTTATCTGCAAGCGATGCTGAATAAAAACATCTTGATTGGTCTGTCAGAGAAATAATCCCACTGTATGCTCCCTTGAGAAGCTTTGTTAGCATTATTACATATGATGTATGACCATAGCGGAACTTACCAATTATGGTTGCAGGTTGTGATTAAGTGAAGCGCTCACCTCACTTTATGATCCTGCTTTGGCTATTGGGGTGGTTAAGCAACTGTGCAGGTTGTTAGGGGGAGCATGGGGTGCCTCAGTGGTGGGGAAAATCCAGGGAGGCCTAGTGCATCCTCCCAGTTGACACGGGGCCTGCTTCCAGAACTGTGCCCATTTCCAGGTTGGTACCACATGGCTTCCATGTAGGAAGGCCATGCTGTGGATTGGCTGAAGGAGATCTATAAGGAAAATAACTGAGCCACGTTAGAGGGATGGGAGGAGGTGGGAAGAGAAAGGAGTTCCTAAAAAGGCTTCATCAATTAATTATTCCGTAAATACTTTTGCACAATACAAGGGGACTTAATTTATCCACAAGCAAGGCCAGATCAATTTGAGTTAAATGTAATTACTCACTAGATGAGTCCAGCCCATTTATTCAGGTTCTGCGCTCCTGTGTTAAATCCACTGGAAAGAATTCAGTTGTTTGCTTTTTATTATATACTAACAGTAAATGATAATTTTGACACCAAAAAAAAACACACAACTGGAGTGATTAGTAATTTTATTTTCTATGTGGTATAATATTTCATAAGCATATGTTGCAACTTAATCCTATGCAAGCATTTGGCTCAGTATGTAACAGTATATAACAGATCTTGTTTTACTGCAACTAGACTGGAACAGTGGAATTTCAGGAAAGTCTTCTTACTCATGTTGTTGACCAGTTCTCCTCCCAGGCACTCTACTCTCTATCTTCACTGAACTTGCAAGAGGTGAATTCAAGCCAAGAATTTCTTCTCTTTCCAGTTTCCTGTGATTAAGAAACATGTCTTTCTTATTTCCAAGTGACAAAGCTATAACTGCAGTCACTTTATGGCCGTTTAAAAAGAAAATGTGGACTGTTTGCCATGGAAAAAAACATCTTATATCTAAATATAAATGTATATCTGTTTCTTAGGGAAGATGGAAAATCCCCCCTCTCCTTTCCAAGATGGCTCTCTTTCTAGCATTTGGAATTGCAGATGGTGAAACATTTCAAAGGAAAAAAAGCCTCAAATAGTTGAAGTCAGGATTTGGGGAGCAATTTGAGATCAATTGACTCCCAAGTGCTCTCCACGGAGGCGCTCGGTGCAGGTGCCTCCAAAGGCGGGAAGGACGGGCTGGCAGGTGCTAACCTCGGTCGTTCTCCCCGTATCGGGCTAAGGGTGGTGGCTGTTTCTGCTGTGAGCGGCTCGGACCTGCTGCTGCTGCTCCACAGCCGTCTGCCTGGCCTTTCTTTGAGGTGGAAGAGCTAGCTGGGCTGAAGGGACCGGCACGTCAGAGGCGTGCAGTGTAGGGAGGTCGGGGAGGAACCGAAGAGGCCCCGGGAGATTCGCTTCCCCATGTGGGGTTGGGCTGCCCTCTCGGGCAGGGGAGGCTTTGTTGTAGTAGGGTGTTGTTGTTAAAATAATTCACTTTACCTTTGAAGGCAAAGGGAAGGCGGTGACGGGAGCGCCTGAAGCCAAGTGTCTCCTCAGGGCTCCAGTTGCAGGGAGGAGCCCTGACTGGCCGCACGTGGCTGCGCCGCGGTAGCAAGGGAGAAGGGAAAGCAACGGTGGCCCGAACCCAAAGGTCTCCCGAACATCCAAGCTGTCGCCGCCCGCCCACCCACCCGAGGATGCAAGGGGGGGGGAATTAAGTCACCCCCAAAAAGACGGCCTAGCCGTTTTTGGGGGGTCAAAAAAAAAAAATAAGGCCTGGCCTTATTATGTGAGAAACACGGTAGTAGTTGGATTTTACTCCTCAAACCAATCCCCTCTCTCCTCTCTCTTCCTCCCCCCGCCCAAGTTTTGCTAAGTACATGCTCCCTAAGTATAAGATACTCCTGCTGTACCTGTCCTGCAATGCAGAAATTCCTGCAAGAGGCTATTTCTTCACCCTTCTGTGACTGAATTTCAAAGGGAGAGAATCCTCTTCTTCCAGGCTCCTAGTTTCACAGTCTGCCATCTTAGAATGGCTGACTTTGACCCCCTGTCGTTGGTTCTGATCTGGTCCTAGCCTTGGTGACTTCTTTGCAGTGGCGTTCCGCAGCTTCTTCTTACGGCTCCGACTGGAGACGTGCTTCTTGCGTTGCCTTTTCTGCTCAGCCTCCTTTTGCTGCAGCTTTACCAGTTTTTCAAAGCTCTTGGT